TATGTTTAATTTTATCTCTAGATCACTTCACATTGTTCATGTCATGATTATTGTCTTAATATTTTGGATTAAAATATGCCGATATATGACTATATTTCCAACAAGGGAAACCTAACTACTTAAATCATAGCCAAGGTGACAACATCCTGAAACTAATAAGTCATGTAAATCTATAATCATCCAAACGATTACCCTAAAGATGTACAATAGTAAAAATATAATTTTAGTGCAGTGGTGACTTATACCTTTGAGAGATTAAAAAAACAGAGGTCATCAGGAAACTATGATGCCTTGTGAAAGCTACAATTTATCGAGCAGAATCAGTGGCAGTAGACCGCCACCGTTATTGAAAGTTGAGAGTGGTTAGCTCGAAGCTGCACTACTGATGATAATTAATGGCCAGAAACATCAGAGATGATGAAAAATTCAGTTTGCAGCAAAGCAATGAAACAAATGTTGTGTGGTGCTCAAATGTCTAATTATACTCATATAGCAAGCAATTGATCTGACATCTGGATATATAGTGACATTTATGCATGTGTATACAGGTTGTGCACTTGTGCGAAAGGATACAGCATAGATTCATTAAGTAAATTCAAAGGAAGATACACATAGAAAATGTCAGTTACAGATGATGAGAGAATCAGGCTGAGCAACAGGGCAAGTACATGGTACTTCTTGTTGGTGATGCGATGGGATCAGGGGAAGATTTCAAGTGACGCAGAAGAACTATATATTGATCGGACGGTCTATATATATTGAGAGTAAGCTGGCAGCTAGATCGACGATAATGATCGTGATAATTTCTGGGTTAGTGGAGGAAGATGGAGAGGATTACATGGCGCAATAAAAACAAAAACAATCGTGGTGATGGGTGGAATAAAATGGATTAAATGCGATCATTCGCCTGCTCTTTCATGGCGACAGTTTCAGCATTGGCGAATGATTTCCATGGGTGGAAGGAGCGCAGCTTTACCATTTGATTAGGAGGTGGGTCTACCTGGGCTGACCCAGCAATTTGGGCACGTTTTCTTGTAGGTAAATGAAGATCTAATGGTATATATCTGATGTACATATTGATCGAATGGCTGATATGATGTTAATGACGTGGCGAATTGGAGGTAGCTTTGGGTTTTAACTTTATAGAAAGAAGGGATAGGCAAGGAAGAAACCCAAAAGCATAAATATTTAATTAGTTCCACGGAATGAGAAAACAATTTATTTCTAAAACAACACTAATATCTAATTTGGCAGATAGACCACTGAAAAAATCTATTGTTCACTGCATTCCAAACAAATCGAGAAACTTAACCACATGTGCATGCATCTCCTGATCAACTCATCCCCCCTTTACTTAATCATCTAAACCTTCTTTCAGAACTTTTGCCACGGTATAAAGGGTATGATATTTTCATGCCCACAAAGATGCAGCTTAATTTAACATACACTCACCTCCACCACAGGCAGCGCATCAGTCCAACTCCCTGACTTAATAATCTAACCTTCTTCCGCTGCCTGATGCTTGCCCTCGCTGACCCAGCCGCCGCCATCAGCTGGCGCACGTGGCCAGGAGTTAGGCGGAGGGGGACGGCGACAGCGGCGCATAAGTTGATGAGACCTGAGGTAGGGCAATTGTAGGTGAGCGAGCCGACGGCGTGGAGGAGAGGTGATTCTAGTCCAATGGAGACGAGATGGGGAGAAGGGAAATCACGGCCAGAGAAAGGCGAACCGTCCTGCTCGATGACTCCGCTCACCCTAACTGAGCCTTCTCACAATGCGCCTGGAGCCGAGCGGCCTGAACCGGATCCCGACTCCATCCACGCGTCGGGCATCCGACTCGGGATTGCAGGGATTGGGGTTTGCAGCTGGTATCCACAACGTGCGCAGGCGTGAGGAGACGTGCGGAGTGGTGGGTCCCACGCAGAGTGGGAGAGTGCTAATTGGATGAGAGCAAGGCTAATAATACAGCCAACTACTTACTGTATAGATCTTTATGGCATATCTATCAGCTCACTCATATAGTGGTTAGCTCTTCAGTATAAATATATAGTTCATCTATCTATTTCATAGATTTTCTTGGTTCCTGTACCTAAGCCAGCTGTAAGGTTACAGCCCGCTTCTCATCTCTCTCCTTTCCTCTCTCATACACCTCAGCATTTAGCCTTCTTATTGCCCTCTATTATACTTGCTCTGATGGATCCAACTCTTGGTATGAACCATTGGATGAATAGATCTAAGAGTTAGAAAATGCTTGTTTTGATGAAACTGGTGTGTTTTATATTAGTAGAGATAGAGATGTTGGGTGACTATTGCAACTTGATTCTTGTCCTGAACAAAAAGACACAAGCTCATCAATTAAGGTCAATAAGCAGCAGCATCGCATGTACCTACCCTCTCACCAATTAGGAGACCGCATCATCTCGGCACTCTCGCCAGGCAACAACCACCACCCTACGCCTAGAAGGGTGTTGGTTGGGCGCTGGAGTGGGAAGCGATGACGGTGCCGATGGCCTAGGGCATGTGCAGGAAGAGGCAACGGCTTAGTATGCGCGAGACGGGCAGTTGATTGGGCCAGTGAGGCATGGAAGGAAACCGGCGAGTAACCGCATCAGTGAAAGCCAGGGACAAGACTCGAGCCCCCCTCTCCCTCATAGCGCGACCAAGATGTGCCCTCGTGATCGACAGTGTGTGCAGTGGAATGGAGACTAGAGAGCATGCATGAGGCGGTGGGCTAGGGGTGAGTGCAGTAGGCGGTGGCAGCCGGGTAGGGCAAGTGTGGGAGGAGGCGACAGCGGCTTAGTGCGCACGATGGTAGCGGTGGGCTGGATTCGGTGGAGCGGCGTTTTCTGGAAGGAGTCAGGAGTGGAGAAGTGTTATTTTTTAACCGACCACTATTTTGGCGGTGTGTAGTGGACATCGAGGGGAGGGATCCCTAATTGCAGATGTTGAATCCAACTCGTAATATGGAACAATGTTAGATTAAGAGATCCTATGGATAGGAAACATCTGTGTACATTTTTCTACGAGATGAAACTGGTATATTTTATATTAGTGTAGATATAGAAATAAGAGAATAGATGTATGGGGAGTGAGTTCAGTCAATGACAAGTGGGTTGAGATGAGACCTTGTTAATCTTACCATTTTGCTAGCTAGCTCACATTGTCCAATAGAAAACATACAGTAACTATATACGTCTGGTTCAGCACTGAACCCAACGAACCACTGACCAACTTGGTGATGGGTCGACCACCGGTCCAGTTTTTTTCACTATGGTGTCCACGAAACACTCGTCCGCGTCAACAAAGGTGGGTGCATGTATAAATAGTCAAATGGGCCACCAGACACGTCCTGGCCCGAGCATGACTCGAGGACCGACCAACTTGTCATGACGTGCCGTGCCCGCCCACCGACTACACCTACGGCCCAGGCGCGGCCCAATAAAGCACAGGTTGTGCCATGCCAGCACAAAGGCACGATCAGCCCACTGTGCTCGTCCTTCAATAAAGTCTATTGTACCTCACTCATTTCTTTGGTCCATGCCTCATATGGCTGGAATAAGTTTATTTTACCTCCCTCATCTCTTTGGACAGTACCTTATATGGCTGGAATAAGTATATTTTTCTCCCTTATCTCTTTGGCCTGCTGATCGTTGGGCCGTGCCGTGCCAGGCCAGCACGTCATGCTGAGAAAAAGGCCTAGGCATGGTCCAACGGTCAGGCCATACCTAGGCAGCCATACATTGGTGAGGACCTAGCACTATGGCTCCGTTTCTCCTCTAGTCGAATGCGTCGAAGGCCTCAAGTTACTGTCTTATGGGGCTGGAATAAGTCTATTTCGTTTTCCTTATCTCTTTGGGCATGTTGATCGTTGGGGCGTGCCATGCTTGGCCGACACGTCGGGCTGACAAAGAGGCCTAGGCAGTAGGCACGGCCCAACTGTTGGGCTGTGCTGCGCATGTGCCAAGCCAAATCTCCATGCTGTGAGTCAGGCTATTGGGCTGCAAACCTTCTGGCTAACTATAGGCGCCTAGGCGGTGACACATCGGTGAGGACCTAGCACTATGACTTTGTTTCTCCTACTAGTCTAATGCGTTGAAGGTCTCAAGCTAATGATATGGCTTTTCCTCGTCATTATCCAATTAGAGACAAACCTACTGGATGCATGGATTGCTCATCCTCGTTGTCCTAGGAGTAGGGGAACCGAGGAAATGATCTTGGCGAAACTGCAGCAGATGTGAAGGGGGGAAGGGGAGAAGAAAATCACGCCTTGGAAAGAGTGATTCATCATTCAAAGGGACAAATTGAGTGGGCCCGAGGAACAACGATGAAAATTTTGTGGTAGGAGAGAGGAGGACAGTACATTTGAAGGTGGCATATGGACTTCTAGATACGATTATGTTTCCTTTTTTGCTTCTCCCGCGATAACAACCATGGACGGACTTCACGCTATATGTGCATTCCCAAGCCAGACTTGTAGATGACAGACTAAACGAACCAACTGTGTGTAACGAATCATCTTTATTTTTATAATAGATAAAGATAAAGACATAATAGATAGATAGATAGATTGATTGATAAATAATATTAATATATACTCGCTCTGATTCATATTATAGGTCATTTGACTATTTTACTACTTTAGGTCGTTTAGGTTTAACCAAGTTTATAAAAAAATTATCAAAATCTACTATACTAAATTAGTTTCATTAAATGTAACATTGAATATTTTTAGATAATATGAATTATTCTATTCCTCTCTTCCTTTTCGTAACCGCAGATTAGTGGAGGCGGGATAGCTAATTGCAGGGGTGATCCAACTCTTGATATAAACCGTTGGATGAATAGATCTAAGGGTTAGGAGAGACAGGTGTTTGATGAACTCGTACTTTTTATAGTAGTATATATGAAACGGAGGGAATAATAGATATGTAACGTAGGCCGCTCCAAGGTTACAAGAGGAGTTTAATTTAATTATTTTCTTTTATCTTTTCCGTCATAAGTAATAGAAACAAATTTATAAAAAGCTCACATTACAAACTATAATGAGCGAGGTAACTTTACAAGTTAAAAGTATGTGCGCATACATTAAAGGGAGGGGTGTATTTTACAATTAAAGAACTGATGAAAATCCAATAGCCTGTGCAGATGAACAGGTAGACACAACTGAATACAATTACATATATTGTAGTACTCCACTAAGTAAACCGATTGTCCCACTAAATTAGATGTGCACAACTAGATCGATCAGAAATGATGAAGTGACAGTGATAAAAATGTGCTTTGGTGACCATTAGCTGTTTAAGAACCTTTGCTTGAAATGTGTGGCAACAACTACAGCGAACTCATAATTGTCAAGCTCTTCTTGTCATCTTTGTTCAACAAAACGGCCATCTCCTTCTTGAACCTCGCCATGGCCACCCTGGGCAGCAGCATCGACACCACCGTCGACACCTCGCCGGCCGAGTTCTTGCACCTCGTGTGGTCGCTTCCGAGCTTGGAGGTGAGATCGCCTGCGAGCGGTATGCCGCCGCCGGCGAACTCAGCCCACCCGAACTTGAGCAAGTTCACGGTGGTCCACTTGATGTCGGAGACCTCGTACACCCTGTCCATGCTCGACGGCGGCCACTCCCGCAGCTGCGCCACCGTCTCCACCATGGCGCTCATCCGCTCCCGCGTCATCCCGCGCTTGGTCCTCCGCACGAGCTCCACCGTGTCGGCGAGCGGCCGCCCGAGGAGGTCGCCGGCGGCGGCCTCGGCGACGGGGGAGACGTGCGCGTTGCCGTAGAAGCCGCGCGGGAGCGGGGTGTGCGCGTTCCACCTCCCGCGCGCGTTCATGGTGATCATTAGCCGGACGCGGAGGTCGGGCCCGTACCCGAGCGCCGCCGTGCGGCACCGCCACATGACGGCGGTGAGCAGCTCGAACACCGTGGTGGAGTCCGCCAGGTGCGCCGGCAGCTGGCCACGCAGGTAGGACACCTCCCGTGGCCCGAACAGGAAGTACTCCACCACCATCCGGTCCGGCGGGGTCGACAGCATCGCGTCAGCCGCGGCGGCGGCGCGGCGAGCACCGTTCTGTAGTGCCGGGCTCGACGCCGAGGCCGACGCCGCCGCCGCCGATGCAAAGGGCGTGCGTGCCACCGCGCCGCTACCTAGGCGTGCTGCCGTGAGTAGGTCCCTCCTCCATACGGGCAGAATGGTCGGGGCTGGCTCACCACGTGCGAGGTCGGCTATGGCCATGATCAGCTGCGCCATGCCGAAGCCGTCAGCGATGTTGTGACAGATGTGGAAGCCCAGGACGAATCCGCCGCATTTAAGTTGCGTCACCTAATGAAACCGCCACATATAGAAATCAGTAACAGTCAAATTAATTAATTAATTAGACATGGTAAGTATGGTACCTCCATCCTAAACACTTCTATATGACATTGGTCAGCTCAATCAGAAATAAGAAACAGAGGCAGTATATATTCTTATAAAACATTAAAAGAATTCTTCCGTGCTCGAGTATTGTCAGTATTATGTGAAAATCCGACCTTTTATGTTAGTATGAATATATAGTCGGACCATGCAACTTGATCCCATATGTATATGTGTTTATATATCTGTACAAATTCATATGGATGCTAGTGAATTTAAATGAGGGATGGAGAAGCTAAAACGTTTTATAATATTGAAAATAATACAACACAACATTACCACATTCTTAATTCGCAATCTTAATATTGCCGGCCCATATATATATCATCCAACTGCAACATCACACTCCAGTTGGAACCCCTCTTGATGGGCCCAAAGCCAGTCCAACTAATCGTTGTGTTGAATAACCATTTCAATGCTTTTCTGGTCCAATCCCATTCACCACTACTTCAGACTAAATCTTAGTTAATGTGGCTGTTGTATTTGTATTTTAAGTTTTTGTTATCAAAATATGATGCCACATTCATTGTATTTCTCATGTTTGTGGCAGTGTTCAAAAGAAAAGCAGTTTGGCAACTGAAAACTATAAAACCAATTGCACAGAAAAGAGATTTGTTAACTCCAGAACTAATTTGTGCATAATCAAATCTGCAAATCTAAAGTTGGATTATTTCTTGCGTAAATGAAGATCAGTGGGTTGCTGTAATTAATAGTAGGTACAATCCCTACCAACCATGCACGAAGCTACCATCACTGTTCTCGTAACAATGTGGCGTCCTTACGAATCCTTATTAAGATCACGGTCCCTAGTACCAGTGAACCTAAACCCAACCAAAGTAATATTGTTGTCGAATGAATGAATCTTGATCCATGCCTACAACCAATCCATAGGGTAAATAAGATGGACTGTAAATTAATCATGTCACTAAAACACAAATAAAGTATTTAGCTACCCCTCCACCATAAAATATAGCGATATAATACTGGATTAGAGACATCACAATAAATATAAATTTAAATATACCACAGTTCAGATCTGTAATATTAAAATATGTTTTATTTAGTTGGTTATATCTTAGGACGGATATATAGTAGACAGGTTAGTTAAACATTAACTGAGTGGTGGATTGTAAACAAAAATGAAAGAAACAAACGTACGTCGTCGTGGGTGTTACCTGCATGAGGAGCAATGGTTTGCCAACGACAGCCCTGGTGTCGCCGGCGTCGCAGAGCAGCTCGCCGACGCACGGGTACGGCGGCAGCAGCGGCTGGCCGAAGTCCTCCAGCCGCACGTCGGCGTCGGCCTCCACGAACACCACCCCTTCGGCCGTGCAGTCCACCACCAGCCGGTTCCCCGCGCCGCCGCCGTCGGCGACCTCCCTCAGCCGGCCGGCGACGGGGTAGTAGTACACCAGCGCCTCCGCGAGCGCCGCCCTGATGGCCTTGGCCGGGTCGGCCGGTGCGCCAACGGCGCCAGCTGCGCCGCCGTCGCATCGGCGGAAGAAGCCGACCACCGTCTCGTAGTACCGCAGCGTCCGCTGGTCGTCGAGGTCGGAGAGCTGCTTCGTCTCCCGCGGCGTCGGCCTCGCCGGCCGGAGCAGCACCGGCTCGCTCCGGCGAGATGTGAAGGTCACCACCATGGCGTTGGCACACTTTGGTAATGCGAATGCAGCGAGGTTGGGCGATGCTATCTATGTTCTTCGGTGGTTCATATGTGAGCTTGCTTGATGGTGGCGCACGGATACGTCGGTTTTATATCCATCTGAAAATTAACATTGGTTTAATTTTCTCCTGTAAGTAACACTTGGAGAATATTAAATGCTTTCAACCATTAACCAGAATTTACTCTGGCAGTCGTTTCTAGGGCTAATTATACGATTTTTATCACTTATAAAGGCACGGCCCCAAAAAAGTAATGGACATTCATGAGTTACAGCATATTCATGAAAATGTATATTCTATCTGGTCATAAATATTTACTACTTAACATAAGATTTAGATAAAAGACCCATGTCAAGTTGAACCGACCAATGTACCCTTCGCCAAAAACTACTTGTGTACTGGCCATAGCTGTGGAGTTATTGCTTGAATCCGTATAGCACGCCCACTTTAACAAACTCTTGTCCACTGGATGTAAGCGATAATGGGGGCCCTTTGGACAAAGAGATGGTCTGACGAGCAGGAACTGCCAGTGAAGTGAACTAGGACATACATGAAAGACTCAGACTTGGAACCCCATCCAGTCATGCAGGAGTCCAAAACAATCAGACGTTGCGTTAAGGGCATGTACTGCTGCTGTCTGATTAACAATGGGTATGGATTGACTCACTTGCTTAAACTAAATGAAGTAAATAGGCATTGCAAACAAGAATTGTTTTGTTTAGGCTGAGTACGTATGGGCAACTATAAGCAATATTACCTCCTTGTTCCATGCAAAAGTTTTATGTATAGACGAAGTTCCTAGAATATAAAAGAATAAATCATTTTTGTAAGCTTATGGTAATCAACACCCGATTTATCACGCGCTCATGACTTGCCTGATTTCACATACCGTCGAAAATTCTAACCCAACCACCCAAACGAACTCAAAGTATACTCCGGTTCAACAGTAGGTAATATCGAGTAAATTTAATGACAAATAATACCTCCATTCAAACCTTATGATTTTAAAGTTCTATAACAAATATACGATTCATACAATTCGCCCTGGTAAGGACCTACCATTTTCTATATATTCGGCTGCGCTATTAATTAAGTCAATTCGATCTTCGATCTATTTACTGTTTCAGTGTTCGATCGCATATATGGCCTGTTGTCCAATGGACATAGTACAACGCAGAGGAGGGAATTAACTAAAACTACCGGTAGGAGAGAATGCCAGTTGGAAAAGATGTAGATATGAATGCCGATCGAACAAATCCTGTACGTACACCAACTGACATGTCATGTACATATGCTGGCTTATCTGCATTAATTGTATCTCTGGAAACTCTGATCCGGAACGCATTCTATGTATACTCCGCGCAAACCATCTACTCCCTTTGTTTTAAAAAAGTGCAGCATCTAGTTCAAATTTAAATTAGAGGACTGCGCTTATTTTCAGACAGAGGTAATAACAAATTTCAACAAAAAAAACTTTAGAGAGAAAAGTATGCATGTACTGTCAATAGTATTAATTATACCTATATATAAAGTCTCATCTTCAATTCATTATATGTTAGCAAAAAAAAAAAACAAACTTCTATCAGTGATATACTCATAAAATTATCATATTTCCTTTTTGTTATGGCTAGAATATAATGAATTTAAAGTTAATATTTTATAGATATATACAACACTATTGAAAATACATGCACAATTTTCTTCTAGAACTTTTTATTGGTATTAGTTGGTGTGCACGGAGTACGGGTTGTAAGCTTGTGCTCTCATACTTGTCCATGCATATATAGCTAGCTCTAACTCATCAGAGATCAATGGCCGCCGGCCAGGACATCAGATCGATGGAGCCAGCCAGGAAATCAAATCAATGGATGGCAATTGGCATGCATGAACACTACAACCACCACGTTATGTTTGCAGGTTGTGTGCATTTGATGTCATTGAATGTTTCATTTCTTTTCCTTTTGTTAACTTGTTCCATTGCTTTGTAAAAGTGGGAGATCCCGCGTGGGTGTTTTTGCATTCATGGTTCCAAATCTAGGTAGTTAATTACATGTCCATAGCATGAAACCTATTAACGACAAACTGGCAAGAAGAGTTTAAAATTAAAATTTTAAGTTTTGTCAAATTGTATAAAAAATCACTTGATATTAATCGGACATCAAAATCATGAGTTGAATTTACCAACCGTCGATCCATGCGCGAGATTGAGCTGTGGCCGTTCTATTTGTTGCCAGTGTCTTCTCCGATGACGAAGATAGTGATAATGCCACCGGATTAGGGTTCGAGGTGGCTAGTTGAGGTGGTAAGAGGAGATTAATCGTGGGATGGTAGGCGCATGAGAGAAAGGGGCTGGGCCGGTGTCGGCAGCAAGGATTAATGATCATCGTAGGAGTGGCTAGCCCGTGGTGCGTCGTGAGGAAGAGAGTTGAATGGAGGGGAAAGTGGAGGAATGGAGGTTGGCTGGATCCATGGAGGGGAGGAAAGGAGAAGAGAAAAAGGAGGGGGAGGAGAGAAAAAGGTGGGGGGTCGGGGAAAAAAGAGAGGAGCTCATGAGGCGCTCTCTTCGCGCGACCGATGCAGGGACTCAGGCGGAGGATAGTAAGCACCACATGTGAAAATCGATTCTCACAGGTGAGTTTTGACCGGACACCCTTTATATAATTTTGCACATGGAAACTTTTTTAGCCTTGTAAAAATAAATTAAACGGTGGCTGCGAAAATTATTTGTGTGGTAGTGCATCATCAGGATGAGATTTTGGGCAGAGTAGGAGGATAAGTTAGGGTTATAAAGTTTGCATGTAAACCTGACCGTTAGAAAGGTGAGTGCCATTTAGCATAGAATCACTTGATCCGTTTTTTGAATCATTTGACTAGAAGAATAGCGACAAACTTCCGTGAGTGATTTAAAATTTTCGCAACAAGCCCGCATTGCATCCTTTTCCAATGATGCAAATTTATCCTCTGCAACTAATTAATTTGCATTTCGTGATGAGGTGGTTACAAATTTCCATTGGATGCCAGGAACCTGTTGTGGTGTACTCCCTCCGTTTTTTAATAGATGACGCCATTGACTTTTTCTCACATGTTTGACCATTCATCTTATTCAAAAAAATTATGTAATTATAATTTATTTTGTTATGAGTTGTTTTATCACTTATAGTACTTTTAAGTGTGATTTATATCTTATGCATTTGCATAAATTTTTTAAATAAGACGAATGGTCAAACATGTAAGAAAAAGTCAACGACGTCATCTGTTAAATGGAGGTAGTATATAATTAAGATCTCCAAGCCCATGCTATAACAGATCCTGTTCCTACGTTATATATATATATATTTTGAGCACTGTTCCTACGTTATATATGTCCAACTAACGCATCCTACTACATTCTATCGTCCAATTAAAGCCAACAAATTTATCGGCTCCTATGTTCCTCGTTAATTTGTACATATACTACTGTAGCTATAGTCCATGCGTGCACAAACAGCTGGTAGTTAGCAGTTACAAGTTGATCAGCTGCATGCACTGTGTGTGCATGGCAATGTGGGGTTCGCACACAACTAGATAGGTAGATCTAGTATGGGTTCATCGGTTTCATGGATGCATGTACGTAGTACCAAGTGGAAATTAAGAATTAGTCTAGGCATAATGGTATAAACAGTAGTGTACAGCACGCCTCAATATATAATGTTATTTACTGTTGAAAAGCTGTTATTATTAGGGGCTTATATATAGATACACCCCCATGACCCCATAGATGAAGACTTCACGCTCCTTGAAGCAAAGACGAGCTTAAAGTTAACAGCCACTATGTCAAGCTCATATATATCTCGTATACTCCCTCGGTCCCTCCAAGCTTCAAATTACGCTTTAAGCTTATATTAAGTCAAACATTTTAAATTTTAACAAAAATTTTCATATAGTTTAACATCAGAAGATTATATTTACTATGAGAAATACTTTTGTAAGATATAATTTATATGTCAAAAATACTGCATATGTTTGACTTAGGACATACCTCGAATAACAATATAATTTGAAATGGATGGAGTATGTAGCAAAACGTATAGAGTTCAAATCAACAACAAAATCAGCAAGATTAACCTTGCAGTGCGATTTTGACCTTGTTCGCACGCACCAAATAAGTTCGTGCACCAAAATAAGCATTTTACAAGTTCATGTACTATATTGCACCTACCTGACAAGTTCGTGTACCGCCGATGCAATTTACTCTTAATACTAATACAAATACCTTATCTTTTTTCCATTTTTTCATCTTTGAGTTGAGTCGGACCATACAAGAATACGAAAATAAAATTATCAACAATCTCCAAATAGAAACCCCCGGCCAAACCTATGCTACTCATCCTAGATCTAGAGGAAATGCTAGTCAAACACAGTAGTGTCAGTTTGCCACATCAGTATCCTCTTTGATATCCTCTTTGATTTCAAACAAGCTAACTACTGATCAACTAGTTACTTTTAACACTACATAAAAAAAACAGTGTGGTTGCTCCCTAACCTAGATAAGAAAAATCTCCAATAAGTAATATTAGTATCAATTCGTTACGATAACCGGCACTAACAACATTATTTTTCTGTGTAAAATTTTCAAATTTGGGTTAGGTTATGAACTGACACTGATGACCCTTATCATATATATTTATACAAATTTGGATATGAACGGAACTTTTTCATCTGGACCAGATCATTTGAGACAAACTTTTGTGAAAATTATAGCTCTCGATGAGATGTCCAATTTTCTATTGGACAACTTTTAAGTTTGATGCCATTTAAGGGCTCAAATATGTGTGTTGTCGAAATGACAACCGCATACATCGAAAGACGTGGTTACTCAACAGTGGTAGGAAGAAAACGAAGTGTATTAAATTTTGAGTTTCCCTTCTTTCCTTTTTTCCCATTACATGGCCCTAGAGGACTATTTATAGCCCCATTATAGGTTCTTACTAGTAGGCTCTAGGTTATACAGGGGAATTTACATGATTACCCTTATGAAAGGGACATTTATAGAGGTACATGATGATATAGGGGCTCATGGGCCCCTGATGGGCCGTCTGGCGATCGCCGGCCCTATTGCCCCTAGGCTTGATAGGCCGAAAAGGCTTCTTCGGCCCTTGCGGGGGTGAACTTGCCAACGCGAAGTCATCTTCCTTCGGCAGATAGTCTTCGCCTTGCACTCTTCGCCTGAGACGCCTCTGGCCTGGCAAGGCACTCGTACGACTCTTCGCCTTCCGCCGTTCTTGCCCCATAGCCTTCGCCATGGGTTTCGGCAGATTTGGTCGAAGGGCCTCATGCCATCCGCCAACAAGCCCCTCACGGGCAAGGGTGAGATTGGAGCTTCGGCCGAGACCGTGCAAACCATGTGGTATGGTATGCGGCGCCCCCTTTCGACCGATGCTCCTGCCGAAACCTACATTATTCCTGTGAGTGAAGTTTGTTATTTGTGCGGCTGGTGTTATTTTGCCGCGCTTCGCCTCCTGCGTTTGGTGGCATATTCATATATATATATATATATATTATATACATTTTTTATATATTTTCTTTTCCCGGACCGAAAGGAACAGTATTGGGCTTTCCCTTCGTGGGCTTTTCACTGTGCCGCTCGGACGGTGGGAAGTTACCGTTTCGCCTACCCTTGCGACACGTGGCACTTTATTACTGGTGGGTAGGCGAACGCTCGCCCGGGCGAGCTATATATTCTCACCGACCTTTCCTTTTCACCGCCACACTTGCCATTTTACCGCGTGCGCTCTCTTCCTCCGTTTCTTTCTTCCAAAGCATCTCTTGACCCCTCAAGCGTTTCGCCCATTCTCTTTCTTCGCCACCGCAAACGCACCATTCGCCATGGCCCCTCGCAAGCCAAACCCTGCTTCGGCGAAAGGGCTGGATCCCGGCCGAGTCGATGACGACAGCACCGTCTTTTTGGGGGTCTCTCTTGTGGACGACGTCGAGCTGGCGAAGCTGGTCAGCTCTGGGGCGTTGGTCGAGGGGCAGGCTTTCGCCCCAGTGAAGGCCGTGGTGCCGAAACCTATCAACAATCGGACGGTGGTATTCGCCGTCTTTTTTGAAGCAGGGCTACGGTTTCCCTGCAACGTGTTGTTGCCGGAGATCCTTCGCCTCTTCCAGGTGGAACTTCCATAGCTGAGCCCGTTGGCGCTTGTTCGGATCGCTATCTTCTACTGGGCGTGCCGGACTTCCGGGTTTGAGCCTAACGCCGAGCTCTTCGGCGCCATATTTTTCGCCACCGTGAACTCGAAGACGGTGATTACCCCGGCTAGAACGAAGAAGACAGTGTTCGGGAGCATGAACTTTAACGTTCGTCCCGAGTGGTCCGATCTCTGGCCGGTGAACGCTGCCATGTCAAAGTGGGACCACCATTGGATGGCTAGGTGGTTCTATCACACCATCCCCTTCGAGGCTGGCACTTACTCGGCGAAAGCCCTCCGTTGCCGGCATAGGGCGATCGCGCCTAACTGGAAACCCAAGATCGCCGTGGACGGCGCTATGGAGGCGCGGTTCGTTCTACTGCGGAAGGTTTGCTCCCGCCTTAGCTGCCGTGACTTGGTGGAGGAATTCTGTATGCTTCGCATCTTTCCCCTCTCCCAGTCATGGCAAGTTACAGTTGATCAAGGCGAAGAGGTTGACGGTTTGCCGAACCTGATTCTTCCTGAAGGGACAGACAGTAAGACTGTTCTCTTGCCATACACTGCTGTGCTTTGTTATCTTGCCTTGTCTAACTGTTAACATAGCTACACACTTTACTTTTGCAGCGTTGACCCTCGACCAGGCTGAAAACGAGGCCCGCAGGATGATCGGCGACGTGTCGGTCGTCGAGTATAGCCAGTTGCTAACACGACAAGCGGCTGGGCGGGCGAACCGGGTTTACAACGGCGAATTGCCTCCTCGGGCAAACCCCCACAAAGCTGACGACGATGCAGGGCCTTCGCGAATGTGAATGTGCGGACAAGTGAAGCTTGCCCCTAGGAAGTGAAGCTTGCCCCTAGGAGAGGAGGAAGAGGAGGAGGCCGTGGCTGATAAGGCCGCGAACGAGGCGATCGAAGACCGCGTCGACACCCTCGGCTACACTCCTACCCCAAGTCCTGGTCACAACGAGACCGGGGTGGAGTTTAACAGCTCCCACCTTCGACGGAAGGATTTGGAAGGGGCCAAGGCCCTAGTTGCGTTCTCCTCGGGCAAGGCGGCGAAGGGAGGTCCGGTGCAGAAGATCTCTAAAAAGAAAGGACTCGTCGACATCGCCCGCGTTTTCAGCGACGACGAATCTTCTGACGGGACTCCAACTTCGCCCGCTGGCCGCAGTTTAGACCTTTCGACTGCTCCCCTCGCTCCGCTCGGCGTTGCTGGGGCAGGCGGTAATGCCGCCGGGGCTTCAGCCTCCACCGAACGGATTGTGTCGGCTGTGGCGAGGGTTTTCGGGAGCCCTCTGCGTGAGCCAGCTATTTCGCCGCTAGTCAAGGCGATGGGGAAGT